TTCCTTCCTTCCTTCCTTCCAAAAATTATTTTTTTTTCAAATTTCAAAGATGCACAAATCCAATATGGATGAAAGGGAGAATCTAATATTTACATTAATTAAATACTAATTAATATTTACATTAATCATCATGGATTTGAACTCAGTCCCTGTATAGATCAAACTGCAATTTAAGGATAAGCAGAGGCACACTACTGTATTTGCAAGGGCTTTGTTTACAAGAAAGGACCAAGGCAGGGGTGGGAATGATGCCACTTGGGAAGCTTTATGCAGCTCTCACACCCCAACACCCCATTCCAAAATTGATGGAGAATCATGTCTTCACAGACATGTTTAGGCAGCCCTCCATCCCTACACCTCAAAAAGGCCAAAAGGGAGCCAAAACTCAAATTAAGTGTAATCAGAATGAAATGTCTGTTTTGGCCAGTGGCAAAAGGGGGGGGGGGAAACACAGAGAACCTATGGGGGTCTGGCTGGTGGTAAAATGTGTAGATGTACCTTTTGGATACATATGCAAAGGGATCTTGTAGCACTTTTGAGACTAACTGAAAGATAGAAGTTGGTAGCATGACCTTCTGTAGGCTGCATGGAGTGGAGGATCCAGGGACAGACCTATATAAGCATGGGGTATGTGAGACTAGCAATAGAAATGTAAAACTTGTTGATATGGAGATGAGGTGACAAGTTCAGTCTTAACTATGGTCAATGGGGGACAAGGCAGGAGGAAGGATGTTGCCAAAAGCCAAGGTGAGTAGGTGACCATATGCATAGTGATGGCATTATTGAAATGTAATGTGACGCTGTCTGGGACCCGAAAAGAGATGTGATGAACTGGCCAAGAGAGCCTTCAAGAAGCTGGGGGGTTAGCTAGTGTTATAATCTGTTCAGTGTGCCAGGAAACCATTGTGTCTGTTCAACCCAATATTGATGGACTGGAGTTTGTGGAGTTCTGATATTTTTCTTTCCAGTCTTCCTTTGCAGTTTTTGTCTGTTTGTTTGTTCAAGGACCACTGTCCTGAGGTCTGAGATGGAATGCCCAGGATGACTGAAGTGTTCTGCAACTGGTTTTTTAGTATTCCCATTCCTAATGTCTGATTTAGTTCCATTTATCCTCTGGCACAGGGTCTGGCCTGTTCGCCCAATGTAGAGTGCTGAAGGGCATTTCTGACATGGTACAGCATAAATCACACTGGAGGATAAGCATGTGAAAGTCCCTGTAGCATTGTGAGTGATGTCATTAGGTCCTGTGATGACATTTCCTGAGTAGATTGAGTGCTCACTCCAGCACTCAGGGATTAATAAATAGTAAGATTATCTCTTCCAAATTTCCCCATTCTTTCACCCACCCACCTGCACACCCCTCCCTCCTGTCCCCCAAGGAAGGACACAGGAGATGACCTGGCATTCATGTGCATTTATTGAGGAGAAATAGACATGATGCCTTCTTGCCAGCTGAGAAGTGGCGGCACCTCCTCTTGGCCCTTCTCAGGTGGTGGGGTGGCACTATCCTTCCTCTTCAGCCCTTCTTGTGAGGAAAACAGCAGAGGGAGCAGTCGTAGCCATTGGAGCCATGCTCATTCTTCTCACACTCTTTGCGGCATATGCCTCCTGCCCCCACACAGCTCGGGACTTTGTGAAATCCTGCAAAAAGAAGAGAAAGCCCACAACTGAAACAGAAGTGTCTTCCTTCATAGGGACCCCCTGTCATGTCCTACTTGGAGGAGGTCTCCTTTGAGAAGGAAGGGGAAGAGGAGAGCACAGACAACAGTCTCCAAACAGAGCCAGAGGTGGCTGGCAGCCCTGCCTTGGAAGCAATGCCTGAACCACCCCATTTACAAAGCAACGATATGTTTCTTGAGATCCTCAGACCCTTCCTGTTTCTGACCTAGGTGTTTTTTTATCAAAACATAAAAATAGAAATAGAAATAAATCAGTGATAAGGGTTTCTCAGGAGACCCACACCCAGTCTGTAGGCCAACAAAGGAGCCCTTGAGGAGAGTTCAAGAGAGAAAAGCTATTCTAGATTGAACCAAAGGCTCATTTGCTTCTGCATGATGTTTCTAATATTGCCTGTAAGATTCCACAAACAGGACAAGATGACAAGAAAACTATCCTGCTCTTGCATCTCAGCAACCAGTATGGACTGATACTCCTTCTGAAACTTGCAATTTTATGTCACCATCTGGGCTTCTAACCATTGGAAGCTTTGCCCTTCATGAACATGTCTAATTTTGCAAGCTTAGCTAGTGGCTGCCTCATCACCTTCTGGTAGCAAATCTTGTGATTCTTTTCATGTAAGAAGTGCTTCCTTTAATTTGTCCTAAACCTCCCACCAATTAATTTCAGTAGATGACTCCACAGGGCTCTATTATTTACTATGCATGATTTTAAGTCTCTCTTTCATATCCACCAACTGTTTTGCATAAGCTAAAGAAGCCCATGGCTTGACAACTAGTGACAACTAGAGGAGACCCATTGTGATGATTGTTGAATGGTGACTCAATGCGTAGGTAAAATCCACTAATTAAAGAAGGTTGCATCTACATTGTAGAAATAATGCAGTTTGACACCACCTTAAGTGCTGTAGCTCTATTCTAATAGAATCCTGTGATGTGTCATTTCACAGGGTCTTTACTGTTCTCTGCCAAAGAGGGCTAATGCTGCACACAACTACAAAATTCTGTAGGATGAAGCCATTGCAGCTAAAGTATTGTCAACATGCATTCTTTCTACAGTGTAGATGCACCCGGAGTGACATCTAGTTGGAACTATGAACAACATTCAGGCCCAAGTGAATTTTCCTTGTGAAGGAATTGCTCCAGCAACTTTCCTGGTCACTTTCTTGGTCCCCTTCTGCACCTTCTCCACTTTCACAATGTCTTTTTTGAAGTGGGCTGACTATTGTTCTTCACAGGATGCTGAGTGTGGTCACACAGAAGATTCACATAAAGACAACATGATGTTGGCAGCTTTACACCTCATCCCTTTCCCTGGCACATTTCCCATTCTCTCTACCCTTTAGAAACTCAGTTCCTACCTTCAACGTTCATGGCCGTGGCAACCAACATCATAACAACCATCATAAGGTAGAGAGCCCTCATGGTGAACTGTTGGGTTGGATCTCCAAAACTCTGGGAAACAGCAAGCAGAGGAGACAAGCTGAAGCTTGGTGGTGGTTATGTTTGGGGCCCTGGTTCTTTTATAGGGAGCTTGCCTAAGAAGAATGTAATGTGGATGTTTACAAAGTTTGCATGCATACGTCACTGTGCAGCTGATGACGTAGATGCTGTCTTGTTTATAGATGTCTCTCTTTACCGGCTCTTGCCCAAAACAATGCATACCACTCATGTTTCAGTATCCATTGTTCCTGGCCTTCTCCCCTCTTATTTTGTGATAGCTCTGCTCAACTGATTCAGGTTTTTTGGCTGTGCCCTTTCTTTCTTCCAATAGCCACTGAGAGAGAGATACATGTAACAACTTTGCAAATTCATTGTGGAGGGATCCAAAATCCACACACACATCCTGTTTGGCTTTGATGGCTCCTCAAGATTGGACAACCCATGAGAGAACTAGGCAGTTGAGTGAAGTGAGGAAAACATCAGAAATATCACCTGGCTCTGATATGGCCAAGGATGCTCCCAAAACATGGTGAAAATGCTCCTCTTTCCCTATATGAGTTTCCTCCCAATGTTTTGACAGTGGAGGGAGGCACAAAAAGAGCCTGCAGGCCACATGTATTATTATTATTATTATTATTATTATTATTATTATTGCCTGTCAGCTGCACTTTGGCCAGCTCTGGTTTTGTAGAGCTCCTTGTTAACAGGATCTAGAGATATGTGGATGCATCATCCCCTAAAATGGGAAATGTTCCTTTGATTGAAAACTCAATCTTTTTTCTGGTCTGGTCAACCAGCTGCCAAATTCCAGTGATGCAGACTTGAGTTAGTCACATCAATGACTTGATTTGGACTTAACTCTACAATAAATGAGGTGAGCCCATGTGGGACTGTGTCCCATTAGAGTCTTTCCAGGATTCAGATCTTGAGGAAATCATAAGCCCAGGTTTTGTTGGCACACAAAATTGGGTATATTTGTTTTTCTCCATTTTCCATTCCCTTACACATGCCAGCATTATATGTCACAGGGAAGCATTATTTGTATTACATCACTAACATTTAGTAGAAGTAGACATTTTTTCTAAAGTAATAATAATA